GTTCATGGTAACAAAAAAGCGGTGCAAAATGTGTCCATAACAAAAAATAACAGCAAGAGATCTACATAAATCGAGTACATAAAGAAAGAACAAATATAAGGCACTAGAATTTCTTTCCAAAACAGAGAGACGAGACAGAAAAAGTACAGAAACACTAAGAGAGCTAGCAAAAAAAAAAGACAGAGTGACCATTCATGGCAGTGTACAGGACAGCCCATCCATAATTAACGTACTCTATGTCTAGCTTGGATGCATTATCTACTGGTTTTCATTATTATTGTGTCGTACAAAAAAGACGCCCTCTAATCAAACTTATTTTATTGTACATTTCAGCATAACTATGATGAAGACTGTATGGTCAAGATGTTCCTAAATTATTCTTAACACGTTTGCGCAGCAGTGTGTGTGTGTGTGTGTGTGTTTGTGTATGTGTGCGTGCGTGCGTGTGCGTGTGTGTGTGTGTGTGTGTGTGTGTGTGTGTGTGTGTGTGTGTGTGTGTGTGTGTGTGTGTGTGTGTGTGTGTGTGTGTGTGTGTGTGTGTGTGTGTGTGCGTTCGTGCGTTCATGCGTGCGTGCGTTCGTGCGTTCGTCCACTTTGGATTTATGTTCACTTTTTCGCGAAGGCTTCTAAAGCTCGTAGAGTGCTTGTACACGTGCCAAACGCCTGCGCAAGTGCAATGACGTTGAGCCACAATTCTATTTTCCGCGGTTGTGACACCACGCCTCGCAACTATCTCTTGGAACTACGGCTACATTGCGCGTTGTTCCTTGGCGCACCTGTTGTCATATTCAAGTGAAACATAGTGCAGCATCGCTGCCGGATTGCGAACGGAAACGTAATGTGTCCCAGGTACCAACAGCTGCTCACATATGCAGTACGGCGTCTAGCGTACCATTTTCCGTGGCGCAATAACGCGCCTACGTATTCGTTTTACTGATCTCCTGAGAGTGGTATAGGCACAGATGGGCGTAGGTACTTATCCGCAACCAGTTAGTCATGTGCTCTAACTGCCACATATGAAACGCATGTTTTACAACCTGACAGCTGTATAGATTTGAGGATGACACTGCGTCATATTGTGAACCAGCTTATGTGGGCGGTCTAGATGAGGTCTCTTCGTCAGAGGCAACGATGACAGGCTCGAGTAACCATCTATGCGAAGCTGGGGGGATGGTCACAGGCAACACGCACGCAACAAAAATGTTACGTGGAATATGAGTGCATAACCTACATACAGATACGTTTACCAACTGATAAGCCGCCCGGTTCACGAAAATGCAGTGCTAGCTAAAGAATAGTTGCCTTCTAGCCAACCACATCAGGAGCTTCTTGCTTATCTGGGGAACTGGCCCATAGCAATATTCTATTCACCGATTGTGCGCTACCTTGAACTTGCAAACATTTAAGATAATTCCTTTGTCTTGTGGTGTTTGCTTCAACATTTTGTGTATTATTTTCCAAAAGATTGATTGATATGTGGGGTTTAACGTCCCAAAACCACCATATGATTATTAGAGACGCCGTTGTGTAGGGCTCCGGAAATTTCGATTACCTGGGGTTCTTTAACGTGCACCCAAATCTAAGCACACGGGCCTACAACGTTCCCGCATCCATCGGAAATGCAGCCACCGCAGCTGGGATTTAAACCCGTGACCTGCGGGTCAGCAGCCGAGTACCCTAGCCACTAGACCACCGCGGCGGGGCTATTTTCCAAAAGAAGTGAATGGCACAAAAGTGCGTCAGGTGACATTACTTGTCACAAGTAGAAGGGCGAGGAAACCTCCAGTATCGCCTGTGAAACCACCAAATTTGATTAGACACCGAACTACGACAATGAGATGCCACAGCCTTTCGCCTACAATGGACCCGTCTGTGCTTTTCTCTTGCATCTGATCGCAACTCTGCAAATGTTTTTTGTACTATATAAAAGCCACGAAGGTGGCACGTATACAGGAGTGCCGGGCATATTCCATTCGTTTTAACATATAACCAAGAAATTTGTTATGAAAAAGAACACACAAAGGTTCACGTGGTCGTAACCACAGCACAAAAAATCTGCCGATAAAAGCGTACATTATATCTGGTCATTTTTTTTTCCTCTTATACCACACACTAAACTCTTTAAAACGTACAGAGGGGGAAGGGGAAGGAGGCGGAAGGTGTCAAAAGCTCCCAGGCCACGATCCCATGCATTTCCATGGAAGCGTCACGTGGGAACGTTTCACCAGGACTGTACATTAACCAACTCAACCAATTCACCGTTCTTCTTCAGTACATCTCCACACCTGCAGTGCACTCATATATGCTCAAAGCGAGAGCCGGATTCGGGTGCACGCTAACAAAACCCCAGTTGGTCGAAATTTTAGGAGCCCTCCACTAAGGCGTCTTTCATATTCATTTGATGTTTTGAGACGTTAAACCCTACATATCATCACTTAAAGCAAGGGCACAACCATAACGCATGAAGAAAACAAACACTGCACAATACTGAAGGTCTAAAAGCTAAACAGTGTACAGGTGAAAAAATACATTGCAGAATTTTTACAAAAACAATAGATTATTAAGAAACATGGAGCGCTTGTTGAAGCACCATTTTTTTGTCTTAGATGTGCGCAACAGAGAGTTAATACCAGTGTCATCTGCGCGAACTACACTGAGAACGTGGACAGTGACAGCTATAGATGATTCTTGGACTTTAATGTTGGGCGCCCGTAAACATATGTATAGGCTGTGAATGCAATCACAGCTCCCACTGCCAACAAATTTTTCAGTAAATGCCCTCTTTTATTTTTCTTTAGCTTATAACTGGTACAATTCAATTAAGATAATAGATATCTTACCCTTGTTTGCTCTCACTTGTCGCAGAGAAGCATCGCGACGTTGTTCTTCACCAATATGAAGAAACTGGGAGATTGACATGACGCTGAGGCTAAGCTCGATGTCTGGTTCGTCGGGCTGATGAACAGGGTAGCGGGATAAGCAATCAGTGTCCAGATGGAGACGTCCAGACTTATAAGCAACCGAGTAGGAATACTCCTGTAGGCGTAATGCCCAGTGACCAATTGGTCCAGTGGGGTCCTTCAGAGAAGAAAGCCAACACAGCGCGTGATGGTCTGTGATGACACGGAAAGGGCGGCCATACAAGTACGGACGGAATTTCAAAACCGCCCAAACAAGAGCGACACATTCCCGTTCTGTTATAGAATAATTGCGTTCAGACTTAGAAAGCAGACGGCTTGCGTACGCGATTACACGGTCGTTGCCACGCTGAATTTGCGCCAAATTTGCACCAATTCCGTGACCACTCGCGTCTGTTCGCACTTCTGTAGGAGCATCGGGGTCGAAATGTGCAAGAATAGGAGGTGTCATTAGAGCGGTGATTAGCTGAGAGAAGGCATCAGCTTTAAGAGGGCTCCAACAAAATGGGACGTCTTGTTTGATAAGGTCATTGAGTGGCCGTGCGAGGTCCGCAAAGTTTTTCGCGAACCGGCGAAAGTAGGTGCAGAGGCCCACGAAACTGCGAACATCATGGACAGAGCGTGAGACGGGAAGTTTGTTACAGCGCGTACTTTCGCCGGGTCTGGCCGTACGCCGGCAGCGTCAACAAGGTGACCCAATACGGTAATCTGACGAAGACCGAAGTGGCACTTGGAGGAATTGAGCTGCAGGCCGGCCCGTCGAAATATGGATAGAATGGTCGAAAGGCGTTCAAGGTGGGTTGCAAAGGTAGGTGAGAAAATGATCACGTCGTCCAGGTAACACAAACATGTCGACCATTTAAATCCTTGTAGGAGCGGGACCATCATTCTCTCGAAGGTTGCTTCATACGACAGCTGTGACTATAACAAACATTGGGCCCCTCGACCGATTCCCCACCCATGTCGTTCCCTCGAGAAACTAGAAGCAAATGCGCCGTGAAACAGGCGTGGTGAACGATGTATGGGCCTGAAGTCCATTCCTCGAGAGATGTATGCTGTTTTTGACCTAAGTGTACAGTTACACATATTACCAGGTTCCACAAGACTATGGGAATCAGTTTGACCATGAGATGATAACCCGACTTTAATATACCTTTTCTATTATACTAAACCACTCGGCACATCATCTGGTACAAATTTCACAAAAATACAACATGTACCATAGCGCAAAGCGGGGGGTGTAATTTTAGAAAGCCGCTGGCTCCAAAACAATTTTGACGATGTGAGTTCCTTAACGTGGACCTAAATGTAATTATACGGGACCATTTCCTGCCCTTTTTTTTTTCGCATTTCGATTTAACTGTTTCGTTACAATACGAAAATGGTTATTTTTCACATGTCTCGGAAAGATGGTTTTTTTCCAGTTTTAAAACAGCTAAAGCACAAAATGTGGCATATCAGTTTGCACATTTAAATGCTTGTTCTACAAAATATATCTTATAAACAAACCAAAACACTTTGCATGAAATGAAAATGTGAAGAGTTTGCAATTTTTGGTTGCCAGCTGGTAAACAGTATCATAAAAAACACTATAAATGCAAAAATATTCAAAAAACAAAGAAAACTCTGAATATACAATTTGAGGATAACTGACTCAGGACCAGTATAAAACTAATAAATGTTGTACAAAACGTTTCAATTCAAATGGAGAGAGTAGTCAGAACCAATGTGCTGCTTTGTTGCTTGTGCCAACTGGTGAAGCATTGCTTTTTTTTTTTTGTTAGAAACAAGTGAACTCGTTCACTTTCCACAGTTATTTTTCTTGCTTTTTTGGCGATAAGAACTTCCAGGTCTTCAAATATAGACAGATGTCTGTGTTGTGAATAATCGCTTTATAAATAAAGTGTCCAATGAACTTCACTATTCAATCTAGCGTCTCCTCTTTCCATGAGCCAGCTCACTCCGCATAGGCATATGCATTCAAATGCCTCCGTACGAATATGCGTGCAAGCATATTTTTTAGTATTTTGCACATCGCATTAAAAAAAGAACAATATCGTACGCAGTTGTAGAACGTTTCGTACTGCTCCGCAGTCTGGGCCAGGATGTGCTCCGGTGGCCTTGTTGTCGTTAGGAGAAGCTCTGCAGCCGGCGCCAGCGCACCGCTCCCTAGCGAAGTGTGGACCTCAAAACTAACCAGATTGACTTTAAGGTTGTGCGCAGAGGTCGGCAGCTACGCACTTGTGGGGGAGAAGACAACTTGAAGCCGTAAACAGAACAAACCCATGTCTCAGGCTGCCGCCAAACGAAGCCGCCATAAAACTTGAAGCTGAAGTGCTGTTATCGTCGAACTCTAAGCTCATCTTCACTCAATTCAGGTGAGATTGCAAGACAATTTCAAGCAGGCCATGTGCTTTGCAGTGCTGGGCCGCACGCATGCGCGCGTGCCATTTACACCATAGGAGAACTAGTGGACACCAGATACGACCCTGTGTCTGATATAACAATAGAAGCAAAACAAAAACTGCTCCAAACTGGTTGAAAAGGACACCTTGACACTTTCAACGTGCAGCAGACCTTCAGAATATTCTTTTGTAGAATTAATTTTCCCTGAATCCTAGCAACCACTCTCTCTTGAATAGCTGGTATAAAATCTGGCAATTATCACTACTCCACACTGCCAAATTGCCAAGCTAACACTTAAATTCGATATTTGACTTGCAAACGTTAATTTTATTATAGAACTTCGATGTTACTGTAGCATAATCACGAGGAGCATGTACTTCTGTCAAGTTTGCCAGCCTAGTGCACTTTTCTAATAATATACACACATTGGTTCGTGCAAACAACTGTCAAAAATCACTATGTAGCCCAAACGAGCAAACTCAAAATGAAAATGATTCTGAAATGTGAGCGGTTGTACTAACTACCAGAATGTGCTGGGTGCTCGACAAACAAATTGAACATGTCGAAATCGACAATCGAAAAGCGTTGATCACCTGTGATCAATTTTAATGGGCGTGGTAACGAAAGTGTCAACTCAAAGTGCGGCTGTGGAGGGCAATCGAAACTTCGACTTTGCACACAGCAACAGCACACGTCCCGGGAGGAGTAGCTGCTACCGTGGCCTGTCTCAAATGAATGTTGTCTTTGCCACTAACACAACTGCAATGACGTAGTCTTCAAGTGTTTTTTGAGCAACCATTAGTGAGACAAAGGTAAACGTAGCTTTCCAAACTATCAAGCGAACACATTCAATTTTTGCCTCTACGAAACGCAGGCACCCAATTCCCAAACCTTTTCATTCGCACATAGTCTTCGCCGTTGGCCAGCTGTCTTCGCTAACGATATGTCTCGAACCCGGATTGTCTGAAGCCACCAGGATCGGCACCATGAGGAATCCTCGAAATACGGATTTTAGCTGTATCCAGCGTTTAGACAAGCCGACTTCCCTTTTTTGGAGCTGCAACTTGAAGAAGAGTTGCAACTTGAAGAACCCGGTGCAGGCTTAATTGACGAATACGAGCACGTTAGTCGGAACGTTGCCACCAGCGACAACCCATGTTCCGAGGGTTTCTCATCGCTTCAAGATTCCATCTTCCCCACAACTTCGACCGGGAATTGTATCAGAAGGGCGTTTTAGCAAGTTACGGTAACACCATGCCGTATTTTCTCGTACGAACGTGTCTAACACCGCTTTTGAAAAAAAAAGGTAACAAGTTTCATCGTGCCTGTAGCGCAGTGTCTCCAATGGTTCGGCTCGGCAGGTCCTGTTACAGTTTGCTCCCCTTTTGATTTGCTTTAGGCGTTAGGCTGCTGGTAGTGTTCCGCTTTCTTTCACTCCGGTTTCACGTGAGCCATACTGACACCTTTATCGTCTCGGGTGTGTACGTTCTCCTTTCTTTCACCGGATCATTATTCCAGCACTGAGCGTGCGTCGGACAGCGGTCAACTTCCTGTTCCGAGCCGCACTAGGCTGACACGCCTAAATAAATACGCGGCAGTAATCGCGCATTCTTGGAGGCACAGCCCATTCACTCTGAGTGAGGCGTCCGGGTGAAGTTAAGTATGCAAATAACTATATGCGAAATAAAACCAACAGGCTTTTACGAATCTGTCCAATCCCAACACAAGTTCCACATAAGCTCGTCATAAAACAAGAAGGTTTCGACATCGTATGTCGTTCCTCACGAAAAAAGGCTTCACCATTTAAGTGGAGCTTCACAACAGTGACTCTCGCTCTCACCCCCAGCGGATCATCTCAATTACTGCGCCTAAATCAGCGAAGTTTGACGTGCGGCTCGTTACAAATTTTAGCCCTCAAGTTAACAAATCAAACAGATAAGTGCTACAATGAGTGCTGCGCGCAGAGGTATCTTGCAATCATGCGCGATTTCAAATCCTTACGTTGAACTGTCTGGTTAAACCAACCGGGTGCTTTTTCATGGAGCGCCTTACAAGCTCCGACATTTACAAAATTTCCTTCGGTGACCCCCATGCACCCCGAACCTTGAGATTTCTGTAACACGCTTTGCTTAAATTACACGGGTATTTAATTGAACAGCTAAATCTTTTACCATATGTGGAAGCATCGGAAACCTCGTCCACAGCGGTGGATCAGTGACTATGGTGCTCCGCTGCTGACCCGAAGGTCTCGGGTTCGACTCCGGCAGCGGTGGTCGCGTTTTGATGCAGGCAAAACGGTAGAGGTCCTTGTGTGATGCCCGTGCACGTGAAAGAACAACAGCTAGTCAAAATTTCCGGAGCCCTCCACTATGGCGTCTCTCATAGTCATATCGTGGTTTTGGAACGTAAAATTCAACATAATATTATTAATATTGGTAACCTCCATACAATTAAAGTAAAATTATATCCTGATGCGTGCCGCCAAGGCACCAGAAACATTAATATTTTCATCAGCACGCCCATAACGCCAGTGACATACGTATCTTCCTTCTATCAACTTCGCGGCATATCTAGAAAGACGCCCTGTTGAAAATTTTATCAAGTTTTGCATATAGATTGATCGACGTTTATTAATTTTCTGATAACCGACCTAGTTATATACTATACATGCATCTCGTTCCGCGTATCACTCTTGACATTTGAGTCGTCGTGCCAGCTTGACAGTGACAGTCGACTCCTACAAATTTCACTGCGCTAACTCTAATGATTCCCTGAAGACATTATCGTCAACATTCAAGGCGGACGTTTAAAGCACGTTGTCGAAGCAAGATGTTGAAGAAGTCAATGCGGATGAGCTATGATAACTCATGAAAGTCGTGTACTGGCCATCATGATTAAAGGCCACCGAGGTCGCTCGGAGGCCCATATTTAGAAAGACGACTTGGCAAGGTGGAACGCTTCTGGCGTTGGACGCGTAACTGCCTCCGTAAGCCACCACTTCGCCAAGTGCATGAAACTGCAGCGTAGACCCACTCTTTATTACTCGTGGCCGCCAGTTCTGCGCCCGGAGGCCACCTCTGCAAGGCGGCACTTCCTATCTCGAGGAAGTGCCCTTTCCCCCGAACGCAGCTTCACGGGCTCTTCCGGAATCTCTCCTTTTCGTTCCGACCCCGGCTCTGACAGAAAGCCAGCTCAGTCAATCGCGACTGTACGATCCTTGTCATTCGCAAGTCGATCAGCTCGACCGTCTGTGGCCCTCGCTAGTCACACCTTCGTTTTCTACACGACCTGAACCTAACATGTAGAGTCGCCACAGCAGGTGGAGGTCGACTATTCCCATATGTTCGCCCACGCACAGCCCTTGACAATCTCCCGCCATAGTCCGTCTTCGCCTGATCGATGGCGTTCAAACGTCCTCTTTGTGAGCAGCCACCCACGGCCGCATCGGGCAACTCGGTCACGGCGACCGAGTTTATTTTCCGCTCGAGCAATCTTGTTATAGGGCCGTTTCGTTCGACGCTATTTGTAGTAGGAATGGGGAAGGCTGGGACGAGATCACTGGAGGCGCGAACGGGGAAGGAGGAGCGGGGGCAGTTTTGTTGGATGTTTTAATTTTGGCGTCCGGAAAGCGCCGAGATCAGGGTTAAGGCTGCCCGATTCAAACGAAGACAAGATCGAGCAATCGCGTACGTCTCCATTCGCGCCTCCATTCCGCTGGCACTACTACACGTGTGCAACTGACGGCTTATCTTGTTGGTCGTCTCTGTGCATGGGTACAGCCCAATTATGACACTCCATGTATCTACACTGGACGTTTCTTTGACACAGTATAAGTGGTTGGCGATGTCTGCAGAGAATACAACTGAAAAGGGAGGATGTGACATGCAATCCACTTGCGCTATCTTCCTAGGTTGCCACAGAAAGCAGCTCTCACATGCACCGATGTTATTAGCGTGCTGTTTCCGTCTATACGGACAGATGTGTCATCACCAATGCGTCCAACCTACAGCTGTTGTGACATGTCTTTCGGTGAAATTCGCGCGTAAGCTCAAACGTTGGCGACAAGAACGTTTCATCACAACACAACACACCGTCTTGATAGAAAGCTTCCGGGCTACAACGCAGTATGCGTAATTTATCACCATGTGCAGCCAATCGGCGAAGTGAGCTGGAGCACGGTAAAGAAAACGTTAGACAGCGAAAAAAAGTTACACAAGCGAAGAGAGTTCACAAGCGAAGAAAAAAAGTTGAAAGGAACTCCCGTTAATTTTACCGAGTTCTATCCATGGGTCCCTCATTATCGAAAGCGCTGAGCCAAACGTGAATGTAAGCAAGCTTGTACAAATAATTCTAGTATATTTTGCAAATCGAATACAGAAACTCTTCTCGTTTGATTATATTCATTCGTTGCCCTGGAAAGAGACTCGAGGCTCCATGCGAACTAATGGTGAATGAGAAATGCAGATAACCTTTACAAAAATTATAAAATGGCTACATAGTCTTCCTGAGATGCTCTCTTAGCATAAAATCTGCATGCTTATTTCATCTGAGGGGGCTCGATCTGGTGCTGCGAGCATTCAAACGCCATTACAAAGGTATGCGTATAATAGGAGGATTTGTCTTATATTTGCGATTGCGGCCTGTGACGTTCTTGTGGTTTTGTTTACGGCATACCCTTTCGTTTACTGTATCAAATTTTGGAATACTTCTTCTTTTCTAAACGAAAAAACCAAGGCTCCGCGTACACGCGCAAACACTGCGAATGAATTGTCGCGCCTAAAACAATATTTTGTTGAAAACGGTAACTTTGCCTAGTCCAAAGCCCATTTGAAGAGTTTCCCAAATCCATGACATCAGTCAAATGCTGGCTCAACAGCCATTGATGCAGCTCTCGTATGAATTCGTATGAGAGTACTCTCCATAAATATTGTAAAAACACTGTGTAGAGTAAGCGCTTCAATTGGATATACATAATATCCGGACTTTTACGTGCCAAAATGACCATCTGATTGGGAGGCACGCTGCAACGAAAAGTTTCAGAAATTTTGACTATCTGTTGTTTTTTTTTAACAAGCACTGATATTGCTCCGTACGAGAGCTTCTAGAGTATCGCCACCATCGGACGCAACCGCTGTGGCCTCAGAATAAAACATGTGACCTTCATGTAGGCATCCGAGAACCATAACTGCGGCATACTTGCTTAATTTGATGAAGCTGTCAAATCATTTCAGTTCCTTAGATAATCATTGTTCGCGCTCGACACTTTAATGCACTATTACGTTTCTTCACCCGTATCACTTGGGAAGAAGTTCTCAGCCGCCAAGGGGACAGTGGTAAGGATTGATATGTGGGGTTTTAACATTCCAAAACCATCATATGATTATGAGAGACGCCGTAGTGGAGGGCTCCTGAAATTTGGACCACCTGGGGAGTTCTTTAACGTACACCCAAATCTGAACACACGGGCCTGCAGCAATTTGGCCTCCAGCTCTTCGATATGTGTCGTCCTATCGTTTTGTCGTCGGCCCCTGCAGGTTCGCTCGAGAAAGCAAGCACGTCCCATTTCGTCGCTGCTGCTTCCGTAGTCCAAAAAAGCTCATTTTAGGAAAATAGTAAAAGCTTATGAGGTGGCGGTGCCGGTCACTGGTTGCGGAAGGTGCAATATACACAGGCTTAACATCCCAACTTTGTAACGGTATAGGAGTTCACAAATGATGATTCCACGAGAGATCGACACGGGTCCAAAAGTTGATATTTTAGATTTCATTGAGTATTTTATATTTCGTGAACCTCTCACTAGGTAGCCCGAAAGTCAACTTCGTTTTATGATTAACGGCATAACTTACGAGAAAAAAAAATATCAAACTTCACCAACACGGTGGCACCAATTTCGTCACCTGTCATTTTCGAAAACTGCAGATGCTATAAAAAGACAAATATTTTTGTTTCAAGGAAGATATTTTTTACCTGAAATGCTTGTCTAATGAAGAATGAATTCATACGGTTTCAAGTTTGTAGACCTTAAGAAAATAGCTTTTAAAGATGTCTAGTTTTGCGACAGCTTAAAATAAGTTACGTATTCCCCTTTTTTTTCTCCGAAAGTAATGCAAGCAGCGTTTTTCAAACTTGACACGTTTTAAGTATATAGTATGTTCATTAGGTACATAAATTATTGCTACCGTAGGGCAAATGTAAATCTTTATATATTGCTTCAAAGTTCTCATATTTGCAAAAGTGTACTCCACTGAAATTTGAATAATACAAAAACCCCATCTTCGATTTTTCCTAAAAACTCGTAAATAGACAACCGAAGGCCATCATACAGTAATATAGAAAAACATGTTGCATTATTTTGTTTTTAGCGACAATATTCGTGGTACAAATCAGAGCTTTTCTAGAATGCGCTGATAAGTTGAGAAATCTAGAAATCGGAACGGAAAAGTCGCAATGAGCTTCAAACGCGTGTAAACGTGACCGCATTTGGTGAAGAAAGGCTGTTTTAGCAGATAGGAGTAACTATTTTGAACACTATATTCTACAGCATCTGAATTCACTCTTATACGTAGAGCACTGAGACTTCTAATATGTGGTTCCTCTCCATTACAGACACACAGATGGAGCTGCTGTGATGGCCATGTGTTTGCAACTCGTTGGGTAAGAGAATTGAATGTTGAATGAGTTCATAAAGGATTCATAACAAATTTTTATCACTTGGGGCACGAAGACTACCGCATTAGACTGAACAACACGCTTTAGGGCAAGTTGTCATCCCTTATCTGCTCTACAGATTAATTGCTGTGCACCACATCTCGGAGGCAATGCTTTAGATCATATGGTTCAAAGTAGGGACAAAGATTACGCCTCCCGTAATTTTATCGACAAAAACATTGTGACATTCATTTTAACGTACTATATTTCAGTTTTGCATTCGCACTGTGGATACTTGCACACAAGTATCAACAGTGCGAGATTTTAGCGATTTTACGATATTTACGAGATTTTAGGAAAAATCGAAGATGGGGTTTTTTTTATTATTCAAATTTCAGTGGAGTACACTTTTGCCAATATGAGAACTTTGAGGCAATATATAAAAATTTACATTTGCCCTACGGCAGCAATAATTTATATACCTAATTAACACACTATATTCTTAAAACGTGTCAAGTTTGAAAACGCTGCTTGCATTACTTTCGGAGAAAAGAAATGGGGAATATGTAACTTATTTTAAACCGTCGCAAAATTAGACATTTTTAAAAGCTATTTTCTTAAGGTCTACAAACTTATGAATTCGTACAACCTTATGAAACCGTATGAATTCATTCTTCATTAGACATGCATTTCAGGTAAAAAATATCTTCCTTGAAACAAAAATATTTGTCTTTTTATAGCATCTGCAGTCTTCGAAAATGACAGGTGACGAAATTGGTGCCTCCGTGTTGGTGAAGTCTGATATTTTTTTTCTCGTAAGTTATGCCGTTACTAATAAAACGAAGTTGACTTTCGGGCTACCTGGTGAGAGGTGCACGAAATATAAAATACTCAATGAAATCTAAAATATTAACTTTTGGACCCGTGTCGATCTCTCGTGGAATCACCCATTACTTTTCACTTTGTGTGAAGACGCCTGACCGTGTCGTATTCGATTTTAAATACACAATCCTTATTAGAGCTCAAGAAACAGCAGAATTGTAATATCGGCAGAATTGATTACAAATCCGAGATTGTTCAATGAGTTTTTTTTTTACTAAAGGGCTTAAACAAGGCAATTTAATTAAACAACGCTGTTTTAATGCCTCAATCGCACAATAAAACACGTCCGAAAGAATATATTTTATTATGTCTATAGCCTTCTATACGCCTCGCGGCTAAGTGAAAGCGTAACGAAGCTGATCAGATCCATGTACAGGAGGACCGCAAAGCCCACTTCTTCGCTTTACTGGTCATATTGGTCTGCAAATTGGCTTGAAGCCATGGCTTGAAACCAAACTGTTTCAGCCAATCTTATTCAGAACAATATAAGCGTACAAGCGAGTTTTAACTTGGCACTCGTCTGGTTTTCTTGTTCCTTCTCGTGTCATTGTTTTCTTGCGCTATACTTTTTAAAATGAAAAAATAATAATAATGTGCTCACGTGTTTACACAATAGTGTTCGTGTAAAGGACCCTCGCTAGGACCTATATATAACAGGCGTATCTACCGGCGGGGCAGGGGAGCGCTGCAAACGGCCTCCCCCTTCCGAATATCGAGGGCGGTCACGGTCGGTAGTGCTCTGGCAAACCAAGAGCTGAGGTGAAATTTTTGGGGCCCATTTCAGTCACGTTATGTAAATTGCTATTTTTTCATAAATACATTGCTTCAGGCTGGCGTCGTCTTCTATGCCCCGCCATAGTACGCGGTAAGTGCGCTGTGGTGCAAGTCGCGACGCTTTCTCGTCTTGAACACCAGCCTCGCAGATGAGGCCACCGCTGAAGAGGGGCTCCTTAGAGTGAAATTATTTGGTACTCATTTTCTTTTCATTCTGCCTGACGTCGTTTTTGCAAACCCGGTGATGCTGTTTACTAGCTGCTGGTTCTCTCCTGTAGACGGCGGAAAATCAGCAGTTTTTTGTAGACTAAGAAATTGACTATGCTTAACTCTTAGTAAATTTTGTCAGGTCCGAAAATGACTGGAGAAGAAGCGAATTGAAGCTAATCCTTACATCGATTTCTTATCACATAAGGTAGAGAAAGTATTATGTAGATGCGACGTTAATGTTGTTTTTACGACTGTCAATGACATGTGCGCTGCCGGAGAGTAAGATATGCGTCGACGAGCAGAGAGAGTAGTGGATAACAGATAAAAAGTGACTACAAAACTGCGCGAAAAATCGACAAGAAACGGAGAAGGCACACACACAAGCGCAGTGTGTGTGCCTTAACTTGCGCTAAGGCACACACACTGCGCTTGTGTGTGTGCCTTAGCGCAAATAATAATAATGTGCAAACGGAGAAGGCACACACACTGCGCTTGTGTGTGTGCCTTCTCCGTTTCTTGTCGATTTTTCGCGCAGTTTTGTAGTCATGATTTACCAACTCGCCCAGCGTTCAGTACTCTTAAGATAAAAAGTGGACTGACAGTTCTTTTTTTTTAAAAAAAAACAAGTGAAATGGCATGCTCCCGTACTTGTGTGGTATATAAGGGTTCCCTCCTTTCACCCGCGACCGCTTCTTCGGAGAACAGATGACGGCTGTGTTCATATGAGAGGCGCATGAAGAGGCCGTTAACCGTAGGCTCACCATGAATAATTCATTACAGTGTGTAGTGTGTTAATGCATGCGCGCCAAAATATGCTGAATGCAGAGTCTTATAAGTAAAGACAGGAACTTTAGGCAAAATGCCTATTTTTTTCCTGGAGTCCGTTTCGAGCCTATTTAACATATAAACACAAACTAAGGGATGAGAAACATTTAATCATACATTTATTGGGCCTATAAGTGCCTATTTTGAGGTTGGTGCCTATATCAGCTTTTCAGTGCCTAGAAATGCCTTTCCGCGTTCGTCCAGTAAGCTTTTTTACTTAAATGAGCTGTTCGTATGGCGAAAAACAAGAAGCAATTAATGTGGCCATATTAACAACACGTGCCTAGCATGCTAGTTTTTTTTTTTCATGTTTTTAGCTCCTGGTAAGGTGCGATTATGGTTTGGCGTAGGGTCGACGCGCGCATACACTGTGCCATGTTGGCGACAACAGATCATAAGTCGACGCACTGCCACAACGAACGTATGATCAGACTCGGCCAATGCGCTCCGACGCATGTGACGTTTGCCCAAGCTCCGATAATGTCGCACTTTGAACGCGCCTTTACATGAGCGGGACTTGTACCCCAGCGAGGCAAACCAAAACTGGCATCTATGGCGCTAGCGGGCCCCCCTAAAAGATTTTCATTGCTTGGTTCGAGAGTAATGCAACATGGCGGTTGCGTTTCGGAGGCTAGAGTACATGTAGCTACAACGTACTCTAATCAGACTAAGCTAGGCTAGCGCTGCCGCCTACAGCCTACACGTAAGTTTTGTTGGCATTTATGTTCTTCATAACAGAAGCTGTCGGAAGTCTACCTAGCAATGCGGAATAAAAAGAAGCCATAAAGCGTCCTTGTTAGTCTATGGACCAGTGGATCACAGCGCTACTCCGTCGATAGAGAAACAGTCTGTGTGGAAAGCGGGGAAGAAGACATTAAAAATGTCAACAATATTTTGAGTTTGATGTCCACTCTGAAGCACGCATAGGCATAAGGCTCCGAAAATTGGTAACGCAACTGCTAATTTAGTCAAATAACCACTGAATCTGCGCGAATAACATGTATTTTCTGGTCGTTCCACGGGCACACAGATTACTTTTGTTATTTTTATATCTGCATCTGTGAACTCACGTGCACAGAACTCGCATCCACCCATTACACAGAATACAGTCATATGCGAAAGCTTCACTGCCACAAGCCACTTTGAACTTTATTGCTTACACTGTATAGCAATCCACAATTTAAGCTTCTCGAGTAACATTATACAATAAAAATCATGTACTAAGTGGTTGAAGTACCCACCAGGGACAGAATATCGCTATCGCGTTGAACGCGAAGCTTATGGATACCCAGATTTTTTTTTTTCGGACACGCAGGAAAGATTTGCCTCGTCCCCAATAGATTGGTCGCTCACAGCGTTCTGTCAAAGTTGAAATCTGTCTTAGAAATAATCCCACTATTTATGTGCTAAAGCAAGTGTCTGAAGTTTCTAGCACTGCTGATTCAAATATTTAGGATGCAATTAAAGCAAATACTGACTAAAAGAAGCACAATTCAAGCCCGAAAAAAAACCTTATGATGATGCTGATTTGTCATTGTTTTCACAGCCTTTCCCATAATGTCAAATTACCTCAGATTTCACTTAAATCTGTTCAAATGATTGGGCTTTTTGCTATTCCTTTTCATAAAAAATATAAATTTAGTAGCTTTCCTAAAGCACAGAATTTGCCTGCTGTGTTTTTTACAGTTGAATAATTGTCCTGAGTACAATACTGAAGTATATATGCCTAAAGAAAAGCTTTTAACGCCTATTTATGCCTAAATGACAGTTTTAGGGCCTATTATAGGCGTCTAAACCATTCATTTTTCGTACCATAAGTTCCGGTTTCTAGTTATAAGGCGCAAGAGTGAAGATACGAGTCTAGCTGCTGAGGCCTGGCATATCTATAGCAGTAGAAGCACATGCGTGGGGCAAGCTCGATCAACTTAGATAAAAAATAAATGAAATGTTTAAGTTGCTATGTCAGGCGTAGAAACCCATGTATGCCAAAATTAAAGGTGGCGCTTCCACATGTGGGCATGGTCGGATAAGTTTTGCCTACTTTCCACCACAGTGGGCACTTTGTTTATAGTCGGCATGTGTGTTGCGTTCTTGTCTTGTGTCTGCGTTTCCCCGCCTTAAGTTCGCTAACGATGAATCCTAACCTACTATAGCCCAGCTGTCTATCGTTCTTTGTGCTGTTCCTGTTAACTATTACCCTGTATTTGTGTGCGTAAAGCATGGGAAAGTCCAGCCAAGCTGTTCGTCCTATTTTTGTAAGGTCTAGAGTGAAACACTGTCAGATATAAAATTATCCTTCTCTCGATATACACACA